TGACATATACCAAAATTAGACAACTCTTAACAGACCTTGGACAACAATATTTTAACAACATTGTGTGAAAAGTTTCCAATCAACATAACCATATGTAGGGTGAAGTTCAGCACCTGTATTTGTATTGGAAACAAAAGACCTAATCCAAAAGAACAGTCCAAAGGGAGTACGCTGAAATCTACACATGCTTGGGATTGTGTTTAGCCTGTAGAGATCTATACCACCTTCATTTTCCAGCTGTGTTTACACACAGCAGCTGTGTGTTACTACTACTCTAGAAGTTTATCTCAGCATTTACTATTTAAAGTAGCATGTAGTGTTACACTGACACACACCATAACTCCAGCAGCCTGATCTCACAACTGAAATCATACACTTAGTATCACTACAGCTAAGTAAAAAGATCCTTTTTAAAAAAATATGCAAGTCATCAAATACAATCCTTGGATGAAGAAATTTTTCTCTTTGTCAGTCAAAGACAATTTATATCAGCTTTTAGAATTGCTCAGATGCTACTGAGTTGTCTCAGCATCTCCTTAGAGGTTCTTGACGTGAAAAGGACAGCATCAGCAATGCTATGTTCCAGTATTGCAAGCTACTGCCCTTCAAAACACTTTTGAGTACAATCTAACCAGAAGCACAGAACAGAGTGGATGAAAGGAAAGAAGGGGTTAAACTTCAAGAATAGAGTCTTCTGCTTCTATTTTTCCACTTGTACTTCTTCGAAGCAAAACAATAGCCTAAACAGCATCCACCTTGTCCTGTTTCTACCCAAAATTAGCCAGGACACAAACTTAGTGAATCTTAAGCATGCACGTAAAGTTAACAGGATAGAGAAATACTGACATGTTGCATTGTCTAAATGACTTAAGGCAGGCTTTGCTTTCCTGCTTTTCTTGAACTGAGGCCCGTGCCATTACACTCTGACTTAGCAGGCCTCTTTTTACAAATGTGTTATGCCATCTAAGTTGGTGTTAGGCATTGTATACTCAAAATCAAAAGAGAGTGAGTGTAAGTGCTATTGATGCAAACAGCCTCTGAGGAAACAGTGCTGGAGTTTCTGGTTGTGAAGAAGATCTGGACTCACTTTGGTTCATCTTGCAACGTCTGTTCTTTCCAAAGAAGGCAGAACACAGAGACTGCAATATGCTAATGTGAAACAACCTGTTGGAGAGATCAGAGACAGCATGCTGCAGAATGCTGTCAATCCCTCCCAGGTAAAAATAGGACTAAGTAGGTTAGAACACAGTTTACAAAAGCTGCATAAAAAGAAGCATACAGGCTTTAAAAAAACCCCAAACAACAGCAAACCAAAAATCTGTCCACATTACATAATTTGTGGTACAATAAGTAGTCTTTAAAAAAGAAGAAGCTCTTTCTCAAGGCAGGTAGCAATGCCAGCTCCCAGAGTAAAAGGTGGCCATGTACCAAACCATAGCGGACCCACCACAATACAACAGAGAGGCAGAGATGCTTCAGGCTAAAGGCCCAGTTTATAAGCAATATCACTGGGACAGTCGGAAGACTCAAACACAGTCAGAATTCTTATTTAAAAGGCAGAATTCTGGAGGAACGAGAGTTTAAAATGCAGTTTGACCTGAGATGTAATATGTCTCTTTTCTCTAGAACTGAAACAAAATGGTTGTAGATGAAGATGATTGCTCCTAAAGTAAGCTAGCTTGCTTCCCATCTAAATGCCTTAATTTATCTTAAATGCTGCACTTGACATCAGAAGGTTTTCAAAACTCTCAATTAGAAGGTTTGGTGCCTGGTCTGTTAAGAGTCAACCAGCTCTTTGACTTCTGTGAGAGGTAAATCCAAATTTGAGGATAGACACTGAAAACGCACTTTTCAAAAAAACTTTAACCGAGTTTTGGCTTGAGAAAGAGTTAAAATAATTTTCTAATAATAAAAAAACTCAACTTGATAAGAAAAGCTATAGCACAAAAAGAAAACCACTCCAAAACAAACAAGTTCTATGTGTAAATTTTCTAACAAAACAAACAAACAAACACCCAGAGAAGAGTGAAATTAACCAAAATGTAACCTTGAAGATGCCGTTGATACTTTTACATGTAACTAAACTACCACACACCGCTCACACTTCCACAGGATGTTAATTTTTTTCCTAAAAAATTAGAAAAAGTCAGATCTGACAGTGGCAAATGACAGAACATCCATGAGCTTGAATGGTCATAGGAAAGAGCTCAAGTAAGAGGAAGCCTTCCATGGAGTTAAAAAACATGAGTAACATAAAAAGTTCTGTAAGGGAGAAGACCTTGAGGGACAGACCTCAGAGGTCTCTCTGCCGTTCACGTAGATGCTGAAGTGCAACACATCTTAGCATTGTGGTTGAGTCTGGAGGATTTCCAAAAAAAAAAAGTTCTTTGTGATATGTCATTAAAAGAGTGAGAAAAGCAGTAGAGCTCTTAATGCTAAGGAAGATTTTGGTTTTATGCATATTCCACATCTAAATAAAAACTAAGAAAAACAAATGTGAAAGCACTGTGCTTGGTATAGATAACTCTCTGAAAATGAATCTGTTTTAAACTGCTAATATCTATCTCAGTAGCATGCTTGATGCATCTGCAATTAACTCAAACACTAATTCTACCAGACTTACAAAATATCAATAAATTGGGCCAAAACACAGCCTCCCGACACAAACTCTCCTATTGATTTTGAGCTGCAAGCAAAGGATGCTTAAATGCAAGTATTTACAATATGTTTCTTATTATCAGTTATCAATTCAGTTACCCAAGTCTATTGGACATGACTGATAACTTACTGTTTAAAAAAAAAAAAGGGTAGAACTAGAGAACAGTTCCACTGAGGCAGAAAAAATTTGTTACAACTGTTCCTGTTTTAAAGTCACTGTTTAGAGTTCAGGACCTTGGCTTCTATTCATCAAACCACTTAAGAATTTGTTTAATTCCAGTGGTTTCTGTAAGACTTGAGTATGTTTTTAGACATTTTACTGAATAGGAGTACAATTATTCACAGAAGAAATATAGCATATTACTCAAGGGAACAGTTGTGTCTTGTGGGTCTCCTGGGTAAAGCACATGCACACAGACAGAAAAAAAATCAATTTCAATAGACACTAAAAATAGATGGCTTTTCTCAGAGAGATGCTTACCTTTTCCTCATATTCAAGCTTCTCTTTGGGTTTACAGTTCATTGATGTTAACGAGGCTATTAATATAGAGCAATAATTTAATGCTATATTTTATTTTTAAATGTCTATTTTAGAGCAAACCTTTCCCACAGCATCTTCCAGTCTCCATTTTATATCCCACTTCCTATACTTTGCAATTGATAAAAATACTAGGATTTCCTTGTCTCTGCAGACAGTTTCAAAAACCAAAGCACCAGCTGTGCTGCAAGTGAACCATGACAAGCTTTTATTTCCATTGCAATTTCTCAAAAGTCTTGACATCTCATTACAAAATTCAGCGAAGTTGGTCTTCCCCTTAAAATTATGTCAGCATAAATAGGAAAAATAAGCAGAAATGCAGTTTCAATTGGAACACAAAAGTAGTTACTCTGTTACTGTATATCTTAGTTTACTTTCTCTTCTTTTATTGCACAAACTAAGATTTTTATAGTCTAAATAAATTAGGTCCTTGTGAGACTATTCACAGCACACTGTCAGAGGACTCTATGCTTAACTACAATGGCAGGTACCAACACTCACATGGTATTTGCCTAGATTTCCCTGGTGCAAGCATAAATCAAAAATAATAAAAAAAGAGAAGAATTCAAAGATACTTCACACTAGTCCTGAGTGTTTCTGCTGATTGTTGGAGGTTTTTTAAATGCATATTTCTAGCTCACATGTAACTGGGACATTTCACAGAGCTAGGGAATGAAACAACAAATATAAAACTCCATAAATGTTCTCTGTTATCCAATTACGAAGAGTATGAAGAGAGAAAGAGAACTATTGCATGAATTTAGAGCACGAAAAAAGTAAAGTTCTACAAATTTTTTTTTTAGTACTTCTTTTTAAAGGCCCATTATGAATTGTTTTACATAATTTCACTTACCCAGTTTACAAAAGAAACACAACTCTTTTTCAGAAACCCCTTAAACATCACTAGTATTTCAAAAAATTGATTCAAAGCTTTTATAAGTGTAGTAAATTGTGCATCAAATACTAAAGTAACAGCCCAATCTGCACTGGGAGTTCCCGAGAGCGTAAACCTGACGTAGGAATTATCAAAGAAAGGGATACGTTTTAGGATAAGATGTGGTAAACCCTTATACAACCTTAAGATCCCGAAGCCCTTGGGCGGCATTCTGCCCTAATCTGCGATCCCCCGAAACCACTGGGTGAGCCCCCTGTGTCCTCCCTCAGCCTGCCCCGCTCCAGGGGCTGCCCCCATTGTCTCGGCGGACAGAACTCCCCCATTTCGCCGTGGATGCCCCGGGCCCCGCGGGATGTCCCGCTCACCCCCCGGCTGAAAGGGCCGCGGGTGGACGCCGCTCCGACAGCGCTTCCTCGCGCCCCAACGCTGCCTCCCCGTCCCCTCCGCTAGGACCCGCCATGACTGCGCAGGATTCCCGGCTTCGGGGCAATTCCCACTCCGGCAGGAGCAGCACCCGGCGGCAGCGGCCCCGCGGCGGGCGGTCACTCGGCGCTGCCGGCCGCGGGGGCCCCTCATAGCCCGGGGAGAGGCTCCGGAGGAGCGGCCCCGGGGCAGCGGCAGAAGGACGGGCAGGGGCCGCCCCGGGGCGGCGGCGGGCGCGGTTGCCCCGGGTTACGGCGAGGCATTCCCGGCCCCGCGGGGCCGCGGCGGGGAGCGGGAGCCCCGGCGCCGCTCACACCGGTGCCCGGCGGACACGCCCCCGCCCGCCGCCGCCGCCGAGCTCCCCCCTCCCCGCACACGACCCCCGGCGGGGCACGGAGCCTCCCGCCAGCCCAGCATTGTCCGGCCCCGCCGCCCGCCGGCTGCACCTGCCGGCTCCCGGCCCCGCTGCCGCCGCCCCGCACCTACCACACGGAGCCGTAGGCGCCGGAGCCGACGGGGGTGAGGTTCTGGTAGCGCTGGGGCACCTCCCACACCGTCTTGTTCAGCTCCTGCCGGTAGAAGCCGCCGCGCTCGGACATTTTCCCGGAGCCGCCGCCGGCAGCGGCAACAGCAGCGGTACCCGCCACTCAGCCGAGGCGAGCACGGCTGGCGCCGGCGGGGAGGAGGGACCGGGAGGGGAAGGGGAGGGGAAGGCGGAGGCCGAGGGGGTGGGGGCAGCGGCCGGGGCCGGGGAAGCCCGGGAGGGGGCGAGGGGCGCTCGGCGCACAGGCCCAGGAGCCCCGGGGCGGCACCTGGTGTCCTCCCGCCGGGCCGCCCGGGGCGTGCGGGGAGTGGCGAAGCGCCGATCCTGACCCGGAGCACCGCAGCTGGGGCGGTGATGGCCCGGAGCGGCGGCTGCACCGCATCGGCCGCCCCTGCCCGGACGCGCGGGAAGGGCCCGCGCCGCCGCCTCTGCTCCCCGCGGTCAGCCGGCCCTTCCCCTGGCATCTCTCAGGCTTTCTGAAGCTTTGCTGACACCTTTCTGACTTTGCCAAGGCCACCTGAAGCTCCCCCTCGGCCCGTCAGGCTCCCCCCTCCACCTCGAGCTGCAGCGCCAGCGGCGGTGACCCTGCGCTGGGCTCTCAGCCCGGGCATGGCCTGCGGGGCCAGCGCGGCCCCCGCTCACTGAGGGAGCCCCGGGCAGGTCTGGCATTTACTGGGAGTCCTCTGGTGCCTACAATTTCCCCTTACAACATTGACTCCCACATGCTGATTCCCACTCCTCATTTGAGTCTTCTCCCTTTTCATCAAAGAAGACTTGACCCCTCAAGATAACAAACAATCTTGAAAACTTTAAAACTCCAAAACTCATGCACCAGTTAAAGTTAAAGGTTCTCTGACTTCTTTTTTTATTCTCCGAAGTGTACCTTATACAATATCTCAACCATCTCTGGAATCATTACAGCACTACTGCAATGTTACCAGTATACTATTTTAAAATGTATTATTTCCTTACATAACTTCTTATACTTCTTTGACCACCTCTAAGTAACTAAATTAAAATATAACTAAATTAAAAAATACATGAATGATGCTACTACAGCCATTTATCCGCAGCCATCCGCTCAAATGGTACTAAGTGCTCCTAAAGCTGTAGCCTAGTTCTCACTTCTACCCTGCTCTAGTGCAGCAGACCTCTCCAATCCTCTTTGGGCTGCTTCTTGGTCCCAACTGAATTTCTGTGCTGAGGGCATAATACTTGAACGAAGTGGCAAGTGTGAAAAATAAAAAACCCCATTATTTTATCTTATTTTTCTCAGCACCACCATTTTGAGTTGTAAAAACTGAATAAGAGTGCAGTCACTCTACACCAAGCCAAGAAGAAATATTTCTGTCATTGCCATCCCCCACCTTCCTCATACCTAAAGTAAGCAGCCCCAAATAATTTCCAGTGCCAAATGAAGCAAATTATTCTACTTGCTGACTTATTAAACTTGATCTCTATAGATGTTTTGGTGTATTAGATTATTTCTTTCTAACTGCAGCCATGATCTTTGAAAGTTTAGTCTGTCCATATTTGCCCAAGCTTTTAATCATGCAATTTCCACAGGAGTTAATTTTCTGTCTGGTTGACATTTACTATTGCTGTCAATTTTCTGCCTTCTGTGAGCTTCTGTCAGTTATTTGTATTGCAATCATGACTCTCAGATTGCGCTTGTTATCTTTCTTTTATTGGATACTACATATATGGTGTTCTATCACATGTAGTGAGGGAGATAACGGAAAACACCAAGGATGGAGGACAGCAGATTTGAGTTGTGTCAGAGCTAGGCAGGTTACAGATCTCCAGAAGTGTCCCATAAAGCAAGCCCTGACAGCTGTTCCTCCCATGGCAGAGGCAGCTCATCCATCTTTGCCAGCTCCGTGAAGATGCATGAGAAAGAGGAAGAGGCAGCTCCCTTGTCAGCTGCATTCTTGCTTTTAGTTGCAGTTTTACAGGTTGGCTAAGTCTGTGAGCGTGAGGGGGGGGAGAGAGAGGAGGTGGGGGGGACGGGGACAGTGAGTGCACTCTGATGAGGTATGAAGACATAAAGAAGAGATAAGGTCACAGCTTCCTCTGTACGTACATTGCCTCTTTAGGAACTTTCATTGCCTGTACATGAAATACTGTTACATAAAACTGAGCCTGAGGCTTGCTGGGGCTCCCCATTGACATTGAGAGGCCATAAAACTGGTGTGGACACTGCACACCCCTTCCCATCCTGCCCTGCTCGCAGCCTCTGTGACAGCTCCTCACCAAGCCAAGTGCTGATGGCTGGAGGGCAGGGGGCAGCAGGATTCACTGCCTTTCGCATATGGCATCACAGCATGGGAGGGAGGCCCGTGTGCTGCAGCGGGGCAGGCTGAGACACCAGGCAGCCTTGTGAGGGAGGATCAGCTGTGTGAGCCTCGTGCCTGGTGAGTGAGCCCTGAATGCAGACATGAGGAGGCCATGCCCCTACAGTCCCTCTGTAGGAGGAAGAAAACTCTGTGGCAGGGCACTACCTTTCTATTCTGGCTGTTCTTACATTGCATAGTCAAACCCCAGATTATTCTCAAAAAACCCCTCAATGAAAACAAAGGAATTTATTATTTTAGCCACTTGTGAGTTACTACTTTCCAGTTATTCCTCATTCCACTTTTTTTTTTGAGTTGGACTTGATGATCCTCATGGGTCCCTTCCAACTCATTATATTCTATGATTTTATTTCCTTTTTTTGTTTGATATATTGCTTGCACATCTTTGCTAACCTCCTCCCGGCTCCTTTAAATTCTCATTTATTCTCTCTCTACCTCTGTTTTGATTTCCAATTTAGGAATCACAAATTTAGTACATAATGCAGTTTAAAAGTTGCAACTTTCATATTAACAATACACATGAAAACTCAAAGAAAGAAAATGCCACCTTAGTACTGAAAACATATAATTTCCTGCTTGAAAACATAATCGTATTATTGTAAACCTGGCACTGATTTAAAAAAGACTTTGGAAAACATAGACTGTTTGCAGATCAGAGTTCAGACTGTTCTCAATGCAACTGCTGTAAATGCAGGGTAGCTCTGACTAAAATCTGCCAAGTATCAGTGAGATTTTAGGATGAGTCACCTTGATTCTGTCACTATATCTGCTTCAGACTTCATTTTGAACTTAGAGATGCCCATTAATAGATTTCACCATGTCCACTGAAGTTAACAATAGTAAACTAAAGGTGACAATGTTGTGAAGGTGCTTCCTGTGCCACTTTCTTTTGAAAATATTTTAATAAATATATAATATATTTATAAAATAAACATTTATACTGGAATGTTATATACATTTCTGTAAATAATAAAACATTGTGGTAATTAGCTATGGTGCTAGTTTTATTTGCAGGTTCTTGTGAATTTCTGAAACTACATCTACGAATATGTATTTATAACATAGGAAAGCTGTCACTTTATAACGACAGAAAAGACAAAGTACAGGCAGCAGGAAAGGCTTAATGAAGCCTTCTGTAAATAGCAAGTCAATCATTAGCTAGTCCTAATATGTAGTTTCCACGAGCTTGCTTTGCCAGAGACCCTGTATCTTTGTTACCGAATCACAAGACACTTGTTGCACATGCCTGTGAGATAGTATCTCTTTTTTTCGGCTTTTAGCACTCTTTGCTGCCAAATACCTATTTAGAAGCCTTCTAGAACATCAAGGTTGACTCAGATGATCTGCTCCAGCCTGAGACTATTATGTCCCGTTACAGCTTAGATATTTAAACTGGAGAAACTTTTTATATCTTGTGAGAACATGAAGGATCTTGCATTGGAGCAAGCTGTTAAAATTTAGTTACTGATTTTGAATCTCAAGCTTGATCATGAAAGAACCCGTGATGAGCTATGAAATCAGATGAGAAATTCTGCTATTGATTAAGGACTTGTAAAACCTGGCTTATATCCTAATAATTACATGGCAAGAATAGGTTTTTATTCTTTATGAGAAGAGAGATTCTAATATAGTTTGAGTTCAGAGCTGGGGCTTTGTTTCTTCTCCATTCTACGCAGAATTGGGATGGTCACTAGGTATCTTTGTGCCAGTTTTCCACATTGATGAACTAAGACTAGGACTGTTTCCTTATTTTAAGGATAAGTATATAAGATTGATAATCCCTCAGATAGCAATAGCACTTGTACTAGCTGTGATTATTATTTGCAGACATTGATAAAAACATTTTTCACATATTCCTTTCATACTCCCATGGATACAAGGTGGGCGATATTTTCTAATATCCTGTTAAAGGAATGTAGTTCTGCCAAAAGATCAGTCTCTCTTACCTGAAATTACAGTGAGATAGCAAGTCATAGTATCTTGGCCTCTTGTAGTCTACCAGAACAGGGTAGGAGTGGTTTCTTCAAGCAGGAACAACATATTGGTATTAATCTAAGATCATGTTGCTATTAGATTTTCAATGCTATTAGGACTGCAGACATGCTAGCAATTGGTGTCAGAAGTCTCCAAAGTAAATTTAATAAAATAAATATCCTGCTGAGTCATGTCAAGTAGGGCTTCTCAGTGTACGTACATTCAGAGCAAGGCCATCATCAGAAAAACAAATAGAGATTTAATTTATAATAATTCCTAATTAAGTAAACAAAGGTCCAGTTATGAGAGAAGGCTGAGATGGGCTATTAATATATAGTGCTATATTTTGCTTTGTATTTCACTTGCAATTCATGTAATTATGCTGCTTGCTATCTCACAACAATTCCATGATGCTTTATTCTTATGCATAATACAGCATCACTCAAACACAGTCTAATATTGACATGTATAATCAGTAGCTTTGGAGAGCCGAGCACTGCTCCCATTGAAGTAAAAGGCAAATTTCATTATGTGAATGGGAGCAAGAACACATTGTTCCAAATGCATTAATTTGGATTTATGTCCTGAATAAACATCAGTTGTAAATTTCTTTGATAAAAGCCAATGCAGATGTAAGAGCCCACTTACACCAAACTCTGTGCTTTTCTGATGCATATATGAAATTACACTCAAGGAAGACTGTTTAATTGACTATTGTGCTGTCTCTTTTAGCTCCAAAGAAAACACCATGGAATCTTTAAAATGGCTTTGCATTCCTAATCATGAATTCCTGTAATCACAATCCAAAAATATTTAT